GATGAGGGAGCATGTGAGGGAAGATAGTCTGCCTGAAAATAAGTCCCATGTAGCAAGCTGACCGAACGAAGGACACATGGGACTCCAATGTAAGGGAGAGTAGAAAAGAAGCTGCACTGAGGACGAAGGTGCGCCTGACCCAAGCTGTGGCGTTTTCTGGGGCCTCATGTGCTTGTGAAGGTTGGGCACTGGATAAGGGCGAATGAAGAAGAACGGATGTGCTTGAAATGTGGAGCTGACGAAGGATACTGAAAGTACCGTGGAGTGCCAAAAGGACAAATAATTTTTTTTCTTAGAAAAAAAAATACTGCCAAGAGTGCCCTTTAGAAGCAAGGAAGGCAAGACTTTGTCTTACCTACCTTGGCCATAGGGTCAGGAGAGACTAGGCCCTGGAGAAGGACATTATGTGGAGGGACAGCGAACAAGAGGCAGGCCCTCAACAATATGGATGGACATGGCGGCTGCGACAATGGGCTCTAGCTTGGGAACAATTGTGAGGATGGCGCGGGACCAGGCAGTGTTTTAGTCTGTTGTTTTAGGGTCGCTATAGGTCGGAATTGGTTCCATGATACCTAACAACAACAACAGAAACAACACAAATGTTCCAGGGAACACACACTCTTGAACAAACTAAGTTACTTAATACAGGCCTGCATTTGTGACTGTAGTGAGCAACAACAACAAACAAGATACACTCTTTTCAGACACACAACCGGCCATGGTATCAGCATCCCAGTCACTAGGGTGGAATACTTGGTAGCAACAACCATTACATTTATAGTAATAAACAAAAGAGACAGGAACAGGACTTTTAGACTGCATGAAAAAGTGGAAGTATCAACTTGCTGTCAGAAAAGAGGCATGAATCAGAAGACAAATGGGGCAGGGAAAGGGCTACGTTCATTTGTCAGCGGACGGAGGAGAGTTATGAGGATAGATGAACGGTAACCTCCAAACACACAGTTCTTCCTGCAGACCATCGCGATCAAGTTACCGAGATGACAGCTGGAGATCAGTAATGGGAGGCATCGTAAGAAGGGTGGCGGAAAAGGGGAAGAAGGAAAAGCTTCAGGGGAAAGGAAAGATGGAGAGGAGTCTGAGTAAGTCAAAATCAGGACGCAGGAATAAATTGGAGATGCCCCCAAATCCTCATTCACCGTATCACAAAAACTGGAGGTAGTGGTGTAGTAGTAGCACCGATGAAGCACACATTTCTCTAGTTCCTTAATGCTTCCTCCTCCTCTCCCCACCCACTATCATGATCATAATTCTACCTTATAAATAGCTAGAACAGAGCATATACACTGGTATGGATAAGAGCTCAAAACCCAGGGAGTCCAGGACAGATAAACCCCTCAGGACCAATAATAAGAGTAGCAATACCAGGTGGGTAAGTGGATGGTGGGGGAAGAAAGGGGGAACCAATTACAATGATTGACATATAACCCCCTCCCAGGGGGACTGACAAGAGAAAAGTGGGTGAAGGGTGACAGAAGTTGGTGTAAGACATGAAAAAAAAGGATAAATTATCAAGGGCTCATGGGGGGTAGGGGTGGCGGGGGAATGAGCTGATACCAGGGCCTCAAGTAGAAAGAAAATGTTTTGAAAATGATGATGGCAACATATGTACAAATGTGCTTGACGCAATGTATGCATGTATATATGGATTGTGATTAATGCTGTAATCACATGATTTAAAAAACAAAACAATACTGGTAGCAGAAACCAGAAGAACTGAACAGCGACAAAGACAAGGGACAAAAACAGGACTGAAAAAATCAATGCCGCAGTAGAAGGGAGATGAACAGCACTGCCAAGGAGAATTTATACGGGATGAAATAAAGAGTATCGGTAGATGTTAAACTCCAGGGGGATGTCTCTGGAATATAGCTTGTTGTTAGGCGACTCCTAGTCACCCCACGTGACAGATGAGAACGGGCTCACTCAGGGCTCCTGGCTGCAATGCTTACAGGAGCAGAGAACTGGAGATCGGAAAAGCACAGTGCTCCTCCCTTCCCCTGTAGCAGATCTCACTAGCTGATCATGCCACTATTTTCTTCTGAGTACAGATTTGGCCTCAGACTCCTTCCCAGCACATCCCACTGGGTAGCTACGACAGATTTGAAATGACCCTGGTCCTGAAACTGCATCCTTAATATTTTTAAAAGCCAGGAAACTTTCTGTGGCATTTTGATAATGTCCACTTATTGATTGAAGAGAAATTTTTTTTAAAGTACACTCTGGTTAGAAAAGCAAAATATTTCAGAGTGAGGGGTTGTGGTGTGTGTGTTGAACGATGCACATGAATAAATATGTATATGAAGCCTAAGTATTTCAAATAGGTAGACATAAGCAAGCCACACTGATTTTTAATCTGAAATTTTGCTTTACACACTCATGAGCACAGGAAAACCAGCTAACTGTTTGCTCTGGCAAATGCAGTACAATCATATGATGTGTGTTTTAAGTTAAACCAGCCCACACGAAACAAAAACCTGTTGGAATAAGCAGAGCTCTCTCCGTTCTCTCGTTAGCTTTGAGATAACCATATTGGCTCGGTCATCTTAAATAGTAGGCAGAAATCCCCAAGAGGTTCTTCTTCCCGCATACGCCACACATCTTAGTAAAGGACCCGCAGAGCATGCAATCGAGCATAATGGCATGGCTCGTGACCCAGCTGTGACGTTTGGGATGGGTGGGTACTGAGACTTCGTCAATGGCAGGCAAACAAACTGCATTCCTTGCCAGGATTTTGTTTTTGTTTTGTTTTTAGGGTGGGGTCAGTTTTTAAAAGGAGCAGGATGGTGTGTGACCAGTTTCACTGGTTCCCATTACTTCCTGCACTCACTCATTAAATCTTCGGAGCATCAGAGGCCTTTGCCTATTCATATAAAGAACCACTTGAAGGCACACAATGTCCCCCGGTTTTCTCTCGTCCAGGAAACATCCCGTGCTTTCTTTGAACTATTTTGTATGAACCTCTTGGTAAGTTATTCATGTGCTGCCAAACGTTCATAATGCTCTGGGGCAGGAGAGGCTGTGAACTGCTGCTGGGCTTACCCTTTTTATGACTCTCCTATGAATTAACAACAACAAAACGATGCTCATTAGTCTAGGCTGGCTTAACTAGTCAGAGAGGGAAAGGGAAGGAGGTCGTGGGTAGGAAGGGTGAAGGAGAAAGTGTTCTTTCAACCATTTGTGCACCCTGAGAGTCCATTGACCCAGATGAATGAACCATCTCCTCTCTTGCAGACAACTGCAAAGATTCCAGTCTGCTCGCCTGCTTTGATGCTGGCCACCCCCATTGCAGGCAGGCAGTCATCCTTTCGAAACACGTGGCTAATCACATCTCCCGGTGCTTTTCTCTCCAGGGTCTAGTCTAGCCAGGACCTGGGTGCTCTGGCCCCTACCTGCCTCTCTGGCGGCATATGGCACCAGAGCCCTGGTTCACTGCACCCCAGCTCCATGGTTCTCCTTTCAGTTCCTCCTCCCTGTTGTTTACCCCCGGCTTTTGCAGAAGCTGCTCAGCACGCTGATCTTTCAAATTTCACCCCCCTTACTCAGCTTGTATGACATCAGGTCAATTGTCACAGAGGTCCTAGAGAGGGGCTCCTCAGACCCCACAACTAGTTCAGGCCTCACTGCAACCTGCTTTTGAAGGCCCCTTTCCTTCAATGCATTTGTAATTATTTATAAATATATGTTTACATAACTTGTGTGATGATTTAATTGCCTGAGGTCTCACGAAATTAAATTAGGTAGTCTGTAGAACTACAGCAATGACCATTGTCTTTTCTACTAGCCAGATGCCCTTATACATGCACACACAGACATAGTGAACATGAGACAGCTATATGTTGACTTAATGAATTAATGCATTGTGTCCAAAGCAACACACCGGTTTGTTGATATATTCATGATGGTTGCACATTGATACGCACTTTGAAAAAACATCACTATAGGGTAAACCAAATACTGTTTAGAAAACATTTATATTAATCTCTTCTATACATCACAGTTAAGGATGGATCTTGTGACTTAGCTGTGTGGTAGTTGGATGATTTTATGTCAACTAGACCCTCTTCACGAGCCCTGCTGGAGTAGTGGTTACATGCTGAGCTGTGAACCACAAGGTCAGGAGTTCGAAACCACTCTCTGCGGGAGAAAGACGGACTTTCTACATCTGTAAATGGAAACTCACAGGGGCAGTCCTACCCTGTCCTATAAGGCCACTGTAAGTCGACATTGACTGATCGACAGCAGGGAGTTTGGTTTTTGGACACACTCCTGACTAGGGCTGGAGTCAAACCTGTCAATCAAGCTGGATGACAGCTCCTTGGGGGTGTGGTCTTCTGTGTCACAGTGAGGGACTCTGGTAACTGCTCTATCTCTCTGCCCCTCGGCTTTCCTACCTCCTGAAACTCTGCCTGCCTTGAGGGGTGGCCGCACCTGACCGGAGAGCCGTTGGCACTGTGCCATGTTTCCACGGGCTTTGTATGCATGCGACTGCACCCACCAGCCCGTTATCTCCCTACTTCCTGCTCCACGTTTCCGTTTCCGCATCATCAGCCTGCAGCTGAGTGAGTCTGAAGAGGGCTGCGCCGGCATCAGACTCATGAGCTTGAGTTGGGCTGCGCTAGAATGCTTTCTTGATAAAAGATTTGTTTCTTGATATGAAGCTCTTCCTAATCCCTAGGTGAGTGTCGCTGGATTGGTTTCTCTCGACCACCTGATCCAACACATTTTCTAAGGTCTCTAGATAGGAAGAAGATGCCTCCTTTAATTTCCTTCTGGATTTCTGCTTGGGAGGAATTAGAATCCTGGTGCTGGCTGCCAAATATAAATGTCGTGAAGCCATCCTGTTTGACAACAAAACAAGGTGTATGCCGTCTAGCAGCCTCCGAGGAGACCAGAACTTCCCCATGGGTTTGGCTGAAATGAAGCCAGAGAGAACCCCCCCCCTCCCCCCAGGACACAATCTGGGGGGAAGCTTAACTTACGTTGGTTTCGAAGCCTCAGCCTGGTCAGTCTGCAGTTTCTCTCCTCCTTCCACCTCCATTGTGCAATACACAATGCGGTTTGGAGCCAAGGATTTGAGGCCTTGGACTTCCATAATCACCACCTGGAAACAATCACACAGCAGCAGTCATTGCCAAAGCCCACATGCAGCATCACCTAGAGGAAAATATATAGCTGAGGAGAAGTTACAAAGAAGCCATCAGATATAGGATGGGTTCAATCAGGCTTCTACCCTTCACAGGGAGGCTGGTCTTGCATGAAGATGCAGTTTCTCGCAGTGAACCCCCTCTCTGATGGGAAGACAAGGCCCTGCAATTCAGATGCTCCCAGGGGCCAGCCAGGGAAAGTTAGATGGGACATTTTTCCATGGTAAACACTGAATAGCACTTCTCAATTCCATAAATAAATAGGTTTTCTTTAAAAATAATGCAGCTTTTGGTTTAGCTCGTGGCTGAGATAATGGCCCAAGAACAAATTCCCTTTTCCCTTCATAATAAGGTAAATGGACGTGCAAGTGCCAAGATAAAAGGCACGGAGCACTCAGCATTAGTGCCAGCGGTGCAATAGGGGGTGGTGGGGACTGTGGCCCATGAGAGCACATAGCCCCTGTGAAGGAAGTGGTTTGTCACCTCTTACTCCCCAAGTCCTGAGCTGCAAGATACTCCACTTTTTCCTATGAGAAGATGTAAAATCTGCTTTGAACTTTGCCTAATGAATCTACATGAAACTCAAACCCACTGCTATTGCGTCCGATCTGATTTAGGGAGGAATAATAGTCATCAACTCTGGGCAAGTCAACATTGTTCATCCACAGAGAGACATACCGCCACTTGCACATTCTCTGGTCTAGACTGGAGGCTCTTTAAATTGATAAGTCAAGACACACAAGGAAGATTCAGAAAGTTCATGGAAACATTCCTCTATCTTTCAGTTCAATTTTCCCAATACTTGTTGATGTTCTCTCATATTATTCATAATTCCTGGCTCTTCTCCCTATTACCCCAAACTCACTTCTCACTATTACTCTAAACCTGCAGTTCTAATCAACAATGGCAGGCAGAGTTATTGAGAGACAAGGGCAGAGATAGACTGACTGAGACAAAATTTAAAAAATGCAACAGATGACTCATATTCGAGTTCTATAATGAACAAGGTCTATGAAAATTCACAAGATATGACAAAATAATAATTTATAAATTATCAAGGGCTCATGAGGGAGGGGGGAGCGGAGAGGAAGGGGAAAAACTGAGGACCTGATGCCAGGGGCTTAAGTGGAGAGCAAATGTTTTGAGAATGATGAGGGCAATGAATGTACAAATGTGCTTTACACAATTGATGTATGTATGGATTGTGATAGGAGTTGTATGAGCCCCTAATAAAATGAGTAAAAAAAAAAAAAAAGGAAAGATGTCGCATTTAACACAGAAAGGACATTTTAAGATCTATCTTTAAGTACAATGCTGTCTGTGATAGGATAATATCTACATGTATACAAGGAAATCCAATAATAATACTATTATTCAAATTAGCACACCAACCATTAAAGCTAGTGATAAAGAAACTGAAGAATTCTACAACGTGTTCAGTTTGAAAATGATTAAGCATGCAATTAGGATGCAGAATAGAATTGTGCTTGATCGAGTTTCCAATGTCTGATTTTTCAGAAATAGATCACTAAGTCTGGGTGGGTTCAAACCTTTGATCTTTAGTTAGTAGGGAGTATGTTAACCATTTGCATACCCAAAGACTTCAAAGAAGGTGGTCAGGGCAATGAAGTACACAGACTGGTCAGACCTGGGACCATACCTATATCTGGAGCTAGGTCATTACGTAGACCAGCCTCACCCATGTGAGAACAGGAAATAAGCGATACATATTTTCTTGAAAGAAGCTCATAGTACTGGAAACAGAAGAAAATAATATAGTGCTGAGTGCTTTAAAATAAACAAAGAAAAATGAGGAGCTTATGCCATGGGCTTAGAAAAAAAAAAGAAAATTCATACTCAATAACACTTCAAAGAAGAGGCAGCACACAAGGGGAAAAAAGTGGGTGTGCAAAAAGCACACATATCTCCTTAATGGATCTGATTCAAGGAAGTACAGTGTGGACAGCCTTGAACCAGGACTCAGAAGTCACACTTTTGCTATGGAAGACTCCAATGGTGCCCACACTTTGGTGTGAAGCCGCATCTCCTGAAGCCGCATCTCCTGGAGACTTGTTAATCACTTGTTTCTGGGATCCACCTCCAGAGTTTATAAGTCAATAGACCTTTGGGCTTCTAGCATTTCCATCTGTGACACTTATGCTGCCAGTCTCTGACCCATCTTCTGACAACCACTGTACTAGCCACATGATGCTGGGCACGGACTGCTTTTCTTTCTAATCTCCTGGGCCTCTGTTTCATTATCTGTTGAATGTGGTAATGGTATGTGTCCTCTTCCTCACATAGTGTGGCTGCTTTAAAAGGAATCAATGAGACAATGTTCACAGTTGGAAACATTTTACACAGGGAGAACCATACAAATGGAAAATTATGGGAGACAGAATACAACGAGCACCCGCTTTGGAGTCTCAAAGATCCGAGTTCAAATTCTCATTAGGTGTGCAATCAATCTTATGCAACTTGCTTAACTTCCCTAAAAAGCTTTATTTCCATGTCTGTAAAGGCTTCAAAAGTGAGGATTCACTCAGTCCCTATCAGTAAAGTAGAGGTCACTCCAGTGGCATTCTAAAAACCCACAATGGTTTTCAGCAGAACACCCCCCTTCTCTTGCCCAGGGCCATGCCAATGCATTGGCTCCCTTAAACTCTGGTATCCCTTCCACCCACCCAGTTCTACAATTCTACAACCCACAGGTTCCCAAACTTATTTGGGCCATGGCCTATTTTTAGAAAAAAAAGTTATGGTACTCATCAATTAAAACTCTTGTACTATAGCCCATCATTGAGGATAAAGTGTAGGTATCTGCTTTTGCACCACACCTGGATCATTCCAGTCCCCCCAGGGGGTGGTATTGCTCACTTTGGGAAACACTGATAGAAACCATGCCTTGGGTCAACCTGCAAATTCAAATCCCGGTTTGCCTGGATGAATTGAAGATCAGCTTTCTCCTCCTTTCTGCCTCTCCATACACGCTCACAAATAGATACACAGCAATTTTTGCTGGCTGTTTTAGCATGATGTGCAATTTGGTGTTTTTCCAATTAAAAAGTATTTGAGAAGGTAGGGAATTTCATTCTGTGCTTGTACTTAGCAGCTAAAGCCTGTGTGAATCAAGGACCCATGGGGGTGTGGTTAGATCAGTCCACATGGCTACTTCAGATAATCAGCTGTATAATACTGGACACTGATAAAAAATGAGAAAGGTATGGCTTAAACCCTTTCATGAAAATCAATAAACCACTTTTGCCCCTCTTTCTGTAGAAAGACAAAAGGTGGTAGAGAATAAATTGTCACTTCTAATTGGCAATAATCAAATTCAAAGACACCTAGGCAAAAGCAGTCAATACCTCAGTTGGCAGTATTAGAAAAAAAAAGTTTCTGTGAAGTTACACTGAGAAATTTTTTTTTTCACACACAAAGTGCTCTATATTTAACTGAATGCTGCCTCTTCAGACTGCAAAATACATGCTGGAAACACCGCAATATGACTATCCTGATCCAAACTGAGCACAGAAAAACAAATTACCAGCAGTTAATTCACAGCAAGCCATAATGATGTTCTACAAAATTAATTTAGTCTTTACACATGCTAATTAAATCTACAGAAAGCTGATCTGTTCTCTTAGTCTCACTAAATAGAGGGTTGTCATAAAAGTCTTTATGTTTTAATAAAGTATTAGTGATTCTCAATCTTCAGTGTTATCAGAAATATGTGGCGAACTCTTTATTAGACAGATTGCAAGGATGCACCCTACTTAGTTTTTTACTGACAAGTTTATGAGGCATAGTTTACACATCACACAATTTGCCTATTTCAAGCTTACGATTCACTGTACATTCGTAAATGTACCGAGTCATGTGATGATCACCATCGAGTAGTTTTAGACAATTTTAATCTCCTCCCCTCTGGCAGGTCCCTCATGCCTACCCTCACACCCTGCCCCGGGAACCACTAACTGACTTTCTATTGGGGTGGATTTGACTTCTCTGGGCATTTCATAGAGATGCAATCGCACAGCATGTGGGCTCTTGTGTCTGACTTCTTCCAGGTTTATCCAGGTCAAAGCACATGGTAGCTGTTTCTTAGTGCTACTGTGTGCATGTTTCAATGCTGTCCATAAGACTTCCAGTGGCCAGTTCCTCAGAAGTGGACACCCTACACCTTTGTAGTCTTGTCTTAGTTTGGAAGCTCTGCTGAAATCTGTTCACTGTGAGTGAGCCTGCTGGCATCGAAAATACCAGCAGCCTGAAAACACGCAAGTCACTACAGTGCAACAAAATGACAGACAAAGGGAGAAGAAGGACATCATGCTTGGTGACGTAGGCAGCGAAAACGAGGAAGATCCTCGACAAGATGATGGACACAGTGGCTGTAACCGTGGGCTCAAACATAAGAATAATTGTAAAGATGATACTGGACCGAGCAGTGGTTTACTCTGCTGTACATAAAGTCACTATGAGTCAGAACTGACCTGATGGCACCTAGCAACAACAACAACAACTGTGTCCATAGTATTTCTCTGGGTAGGGATACCACATTTTGTTCACCAGCTGATGGGCAGTTAGGCTCCTAGTCTTTGAGTATTAGGAATAATGCCGGGGGCAGTGGTATTTCACTGGGAGGATTCTCACCATGCATGCTGAGTAGTTGGGTTTGATTTCTGGACCATGCCCCTCCTGCACAGCCACCCCCCCTGTCTGTCAGTGAAGGCATACGTGTGGCTGTGATGTTGAACACATTTCAGCAGAGCTTCCTGACTAAGACGGACTAGGCAAAAAGACCTGGTGACCTACTGAAAACCAACCCATGAAAACCCTATGGATTTGCAACAAGAGGCTAGTGCAGGGCTGGGTAACTTGTTGCTCCACTGTTCATGGGGTCAACAGGAGGTGAGGGCTCACCTGACAGCAGCTAACAGCATCAACACAGATAATGTCGCCATAAACACTTGTGAGTAATGCTTTGATGTCCTACCTAGGAGCTGATATGTTGGGCCACATGGAAGTTAAAGAGTTAACTTTTTGAAAAACTGCCCAACTGCTTTTCTAATGGATAATTTATGTTCTTACTCTCTAGTGATTCTGGGTCAGTAGGCCATGATGGTATCCAGGAATCCGCATCCTTAACTAGCTAGGGAACCCCAGGGAATGGTGGTGTATGGAGATCAAATAATAACCATAACATGTGGGCAGATGGTACAGAGAAATGCCTTGATCTATTGAGCATTCTCCTATAATACTGGGCCAAATGGCTTCTTCCTTTGGGGACTAAGTTAATCTAAAAGCAAAACCCAAAGACGTCCACCAGCACTCAAGACTCTGCCATGTAATCATCAGGACAGATGATGAGAAAGACATTTTACGCTCCAATCCAGCACTGTTGATGCTAGATTACTTCTCTCACACCTGCAATGCAGGGTGCCAAAAGGTAAAACTCCTTAGATTGCACAGTGCCGTTATAAAACCCCCTGCGCATTGCGATCGATAAGACAGGGGGAAATAGAACCATGTTGGGAGTACACAGTTAAATGTAGTACAGGTGGCTCTTCTGATTGCGTTTCCTTCAGAACCGTCTGGGCTCCTGGAGTTGGGGAAACACTTGGGGATTAGCTGACCTCTGTTTAGCAAGCTGTTGTGTTCATAACTGCTTCGGGGGCTCCAGGGGGAAAGCCGGCTGATGGGGATGCATCGAATCACCCAGGCGCTGCCTGCTGTGCTAGGAAAATCTGGAGGGCTCGGGGGCTTTTTACCTCCAGGGAGAAAGAGAGCACGACGTCGGACTTGGAGAGCTGGTTCTCGCTCTCTTCGCCCATGTCGATGATGGACGCGTTGTGGCTGCGTTTGAGTTTCTGAAGCTTGAACTCGCCGCCCTTGGACACTGGCATGCTCTCCAGGTTGGCCATGAGCAGGTTGACTGACGACTTCAGCTCCTCAATGTACATGTTTTCCATTTCTTTGGAGACGAACTTGGGAAATTTGCGTTCCTTGAAAAGGGAGCGAGAAGTATCATTAGAGGCATAGAGACCTGATGCACATAGGGCAGTGGTTCTCAACCTTCCTCCTGGCGCGGCCCTTTAACACAGTTCCTCACATGGTGGTGACCCCAATCATAAAATTATTTCATTGCTACTTCATCACTGTCATTTTGCTACCGACCGTTATGAACCGTCATGTAAATAGCTGCTATGCATTTTCATTGTTACAAATTGAGCATAATTAAAGCATAGTGATTCATCATAAAACAATATGTAATTATATATCGTGAAATAGTCATTTCTAATTACAAATCAATGAAATCTTGTCTTGAAGCATGGTGTAGCATGGGTAACAGTCTTCATGCAGGGCACTCGTATGTGGGCGTATCTGCATATGGGCGGACCCGCCAGGAGATGGAGAGAGAAGTGGTGTCTCAGTTCCTAAAACCATCAGAAATCTGTGGTTTC